GGTCCTGTATAAACCTTCCTAAGCTGCAGAGTGATAAGAGTATTCATTCAATAGAATGAAAACCGCATTTTGCTATCGATTGCTGTGACGATGCTAGTCTTCTCGCTATCGATTGTTGTGGCAATGTTAGTGCAATAACTCAGATATCGTAACATATCAACAGTCGTCACAGTTGTGTAGTTAAAAAGATCTCAGTGTACAGACAGCGGGAAGCGACTTTTTTTATACTAGCTATACTATTAAATAATCACAGTCTAATATTTTTTATTACTTCTTATTCTAACTATTCATCAAATATAAGAAACCTATCAATAGTTATATTGAGGATAAAACTACGAGGTGTGTAGGTTAATTCCTAAACCATGTTAAAGTTGTCCAAATACGAGACGAACTTGCACACCGAGACTAACTTACGGATTCATCATCGCCGAGCGTAAGTATACTATTGGAGTAACACCTATCTTTAGTTAAGGGTATGATTATTATGTGAGGTGGACGTAAGTGTGTACTTAAGAAAGCATTTTAAAATTCTACCCTATCGGGTGAAATATTAAGATTAGAATTAAAGTTTGAAGCTTTAAATGTAATTATATTTTGGATACCAATAAAAATGAAAAAAATACCTAATTAATCGATTGAACAAATTTTATCTCTAAAAGAGTGAAAGTTTGCATGGAAGTCAGTTAGAAACATGAAACTAGCGTAAAGGCAAATATGACCGACTAACTTATCAATAGATAAATAAGATGACAGTACTGTACTTACTGAAATTCGCTAAGAAATCATTTTGAAGTATTCCACCTCTCAGGGGATTAAAGAAATCTGTCCGGGCTAAACCCTTGGAGCGAGCTAGTAGATACCCTTACGTAAAGAACCTTTTTATGTATTTCTTTTTTATTTAGTTACAGCTGTTGTGGAATCTATAAGTTTCTCTAACGCTACAATCAAAGCCAAAATGAGCCAGTTATAAAACGTTTAATTGTTTTTATCGATTATCTTCTATGTTTATGGTACCTATTATTGAAATGCGTTTAGCGAAAAGAATGAAACTATAATTATTATAAAAAATATATACCGAGAACAGTTTCAAATTTTGTTTTCAATAGCTTATCAGAATGAGCTTAAGCAGTTTCAACGCCATCTATCTAAGAAACAAAATAATTTCCTGTTACTTGCTTTCATAAAGCATTAAACTATATTCGTTTAGATGAAAGGTTTCATTCGTTTCAACTATAAGTGAATAGATAGCGCTTGTATTAGAAATTGGTTATTTTTAGACTACCCATTATGGACTCCTCATGATTCAGAACGAGATATAGTCATCAGTTTTTGAGATACGAATAGCACTTTTTGAAATATTTTTTATAAATCTGTACATGCTATTACCACAGATAATACTAGCCTTTGGTAACTCCACAGTTTAACGCGAAAAAACTATATACCTTATTAACTTTTTAATAAAAATACGCTTACAAAACTAATATAATATTGTCGATATTTTTAAAGTAAAAAAAATTAACAACGGTGGCAAGAGCATAAAAATGAAGCCTCACTATTGATAACAACATATCGAATTTCCTATTTTCATGTAATAAATATACTCGAACAAGCGTCAAAAGTGTAATCATGAAAACAAGTTTGGTAATAACGAAGTATAGAAATTATATTTCACTTATTCTCGAAGCTGGTCAACTAAGTTTTTTCTGAACTTACCATTGATTGATCGGCGGCGTGACTTAAGTATTAAGTAAGTCAGGCAGAGCTAAATACATTAGATTATTTCATCCAGTCTGTTTTTTTTTCATACCAACCACTAGTGTCTTTGAAATGTCTTGAATAAATGTTTGACACCTACTCAATAAATAATACGGACAAGATAGCTGCGTGATTGATTTACAATCATAGTGACGCAGAAATTCTTGTTAACTACCAGCTAAGAACAATGAAAATAAACGAAAACCAATTACCTATATAAGTAAAAGTAACAAAATAATAAGCATCTTCATTCAAACGGTTCATTGAATATTTAGAAATAATAAAAGGTCATAAGTTCATAACAATTCGTAACAACTTACATGATTTTTAATTTTAGTAAATAAAACGATGTAAGAACAGAGGATGATGTAAGTAATCTGTGATTTTGATACCTGTGAAGTATCAAAACATATTAAGTAAAATAGCTAATAACAAAAGTAATTAATAACGTTTAATATACAGTTTATAAATATAACGTCTTAAAATTCGCAGCAGCAGTGACCATGCTGGCGTATAAAATATACATAAATAGAATTAATTCGTGACGTGAAATCAGTTTGATTTCAAGCTTTTTTTCAATTTACGGTCAATTTACTGTATATAGAGCAATAAGGTATCATATTTTTAATGCCAAACGTAAAGAGACGCGACACATAAATTTTTATTAATTTGTAATTAAAATAACAATATTAATATCTATTTTTTATTTATTCAAAAATTCATAAGAGATCATATGAAATATATATTATCTATATGAAAATAATCGTAGATATATTAGTATATAATCAAAGTTTAGTAGCTTGGAATTAGATACAAAGCTCCAATCAATAATTAGGTTCCTAAAGAATTTTTTATGTCATGGATTGCGGTAAGTCTATTATTGTATGCGTTTTAATAAATATTGTATATATATATTATTATAAATTTGCACGAAAGTGTGCAAATTTGAATGTCATCTACAGTGGCAAGATTTGATTGTTTATTTGCATTGAATACGCTCCGAAACGACTTAACCGATTTTATAACAATCTGTGACCTATGGCTACATTAACCGCGGGTGGCATAGGCTATAAGTTGGGAGAAAACAGTTAATCTCATATCGTGAGCTTCAAGAGGGGCACAAATGAGTTATTTTCTTATGACAATTTATTCTAATTTTCTCAACTAACAAAACCTAATTTTTAGATAGTCGGAAAATTACTAAAAAGATATGAGTGGAACATTTTTTGACATATATATAACCGATAGTCATGTTTTATTTTCACGTCTCCTGAAAAGTAAGGGCATTGCTTATACGGCCCAATGGCTTGAAACCCGCGACATACCTATTTGTCAGTTTTAACGTTGTAAGTTCCGACGTGATGGCTCGTTCACGTCAGTTATTCACCATGTTGTATGCGATGTTAGATATCTATAGGTCGTTTCTTTTCTTCGGTTCAATGTAATAGTTTATTAAATGAAAACAACGCACGCTCAACATAAGTGATTTTTTTTTTACACACTTTCTTACATTAATTTATTTATTTATAATTAGGTAATATTCAGCCATAAAGACTATTTAGGAACAATTTATTAAATATTTGTGGCTATAGCCCACACGCGTTTCATATTCAAGAAGTTCGAGAAAACCGCCAAAACGGCAAAACTTTTTAATCCAAATTTTTGCTACGCAAAGGAATTTGTGTTCATTCTGCATAATACACCGAACCTTAGCATTGTGGTTTAAAAACAATATTTATTTATATCACTGCTAAATACTTGTGGTAAGTTTATGTTATAAATAAGATCCCGTTCAAAATTGTCCATGAGATTCAGATATGATACCTACTATTAACTAAATGTTGGTCCTCGGAATAGGTACTTTATTTTATTATATCGAGTGGAACTAAAGTAAAATTAGTTGAATTATTGTCAAATAAAACATCCAGAAATTAATAATTTTACTTTTTATAATAAAATTAATTTAATATTTGCAATTCTTTTATGTTATGTAATCAATGATTATTTTAGATTACGAAGAGGGTATAACAAACTTATAAACTAAAAAAATTAATACTGTTTCAGAAGACTGAATTCGAACTCTATTTTCTAAGCGATTGCGATTGTGAAAATCAAAATTCATAATAATATACCACAAAAAGCTATTCATACTTATATACATGCAGTAAACGAAAAAAGGAATATGAGACAATTAAGATAAGCTAAGTCTGAATAAAGTATTAAATAAAATGTCTAAAATTGGTGTCGACTGTGTCCAAATGAGATTTTCCCAAATAGGACCGATTTTAAGTAAGTATTACTAAGGAGCTTATCAGTTTACTAGGACAAAGCACGGCCCGTTGCATTCGCCAGCAAGGACGCATACACAGATGTTTTACAGCTGGATACGACAAAAAATTACTATGATTTATTTTACTATTTATTATTATATTATCATAAAGTCCCATCGTCACTAACATAAGAGTAAATACTTACGGAATTACTACCATATATACATATATATGTGATCATTGCGATCGCAATTAAAAAACAAAGTTAACACCAGCCTATTAATATCGTCATTGCTGGAGCTCAGGCCTTCCCTATGGATTGAATCGAATAAGTAGAATGGGCCATCTCCCTCCACGCGGACCCAGTGTGTACTGGTGGGTATTAACTACTGCAGATACAGCCGGGACCAATGGCTTAACGAGCCTTCCGAAACATGGATTCCAAGTTAATAAATTTTTGATCACCCATCCTATGACCGACTATTGCGAAAGTTTCCCAAACCGAGCGCGCTAACCATTACGCCATTGAGCTCCTCAAAAATAAAGGTGCATAGTAGTAATCCTACGAATAACTACTTTTCGATATATCGTGAACGTAACTTGAGTAGAAAAGATGACCAAAGAGTCTATAATATTTCGAATGTTCATTTTAAACCTACAAAGCTTTAACCGTTTAATAAACAGGAATAATGTGAAAAAGAAGTGTTAATGTATAATAAGTGTATAAGCATATATTTTGGAAAACATGCCAATCATCTCAATTTTTCATCTAAAAATGCATGTGTAAACTCACACCGGGTTGCTTGTTTAAAACTGTCATATATTTTTTTGTCTACGCGTCGCGTACTGACAGCTACAGAACCAAACATTTAAAATTGGAATAGGTAGGTACACTTTTTTAAACTTCTATGCCCTTTCCAGTCTGTTTATATCGCTTGAGACAGTCAACGTGCTCGTACGCAGCAACTCGCCGGCACTCCACCAGCATTCGCCGACACGCAAACATGGCGGCCCCGCTACAGCCTCTGCAAGTGAGTCCACGATTTCATTCATACGTTTAATCACGATACTTGCACCAAAGCCTTAAGCTAAACAACATTTTGTACTGATTCGTCACTTCGCAGTCAGACCTGTTTTTAAAATCGACCTTACTTTAACTACTCCGTTAAAATATCACAATAGGATAATAGGTATTTATTTGTCGTGCCCGTATTAAGTGATCGGAGGATTATTAGTTATAAAAGTGTTTAGTATTAACCGCGCTAACTCTTGTTCAATTGAGTTCGAACGTCAGATGGCCTTTGACGTTTCATTATAGTTAAATCGATGTTGCGAAACCGAATCGATCATGATCTACTTCACCATTGTTTATTTGACTTTTTTTTTTATTATTCTTAATGAAACTCAGTGTAAAAATACATTAAAAAATCTGCAGATTAATAATAGGTATTAGTCTGCAGATTTTTATTTTTTCTTATAAAATATGTTTTAAATCTTGTTTATTGTTTTATAAAAAAAAACATATTTACCAATATCTTATTGTTATAAGAAGTATTTTTCTTCTATGATTTGATAAAATCTTGAAAATATTTGCTTTAAACTTTATCACTAGCTTAATGGACCATGTAATGAATTCGTTTTCTGTATAAATGTAAAAGTACATTATACCAAATTTAGTGCCATAAAAATATACAAATACAGTACATAAGTATTATTGTTGAGGATACTTAAGTTATATTATATTAAGTTATTTGTATTTAGAGGGCACCTAAACCAAATAAAAAAAATCATTGACTGTTTTAAAAAGCCGTAATTAGAAATATGAAAACAACATATGTCGGTACAGCCATAGATTTAATTATTTTAAGTACAGAAGAAGTATTCTATTATTTAAACAGCCTCGAATTAGACATCCAACGCAGCGCTGTCGTACCAGAGAGGTTCGATAAAATAAACCTTGTAAAAGGTAATAAACGTTTTGTTTCATGCAAGCTCTATATTGTTACAGCTCTGTGCTCGTCACCGAGTTCGAGGCTGTTTATTTATAATGGCATAAATTTTCTTAAATTATAAATTTATATGTAGATTTTCCTCGAAAGCGTATAGCTTTTATAAGGTAGGTAGGTTTTATGAACAGTTCAACAAACTGTTCACTTTCTAGCCGACGTATGAGTTTGAGATTTGACATGAATTGTCATAAAATTATAAATAAACAATAAAGATAAATATTAGATAACATCACAAACGTTGCTCAGATTTCAAAATGAGCAGCTAAAGCCCTCGTATTATGAAGCATCTGAGATAACGGAGGTACCACAAAACCCAGACCTGAGACAATTTAGAAAAATTAATTTTCTCTATTAAACCGACCGAGAACCGAAACCGGGACCTTTGAGATGGCGACACTTTGAACCGGCCGGCGTGCGAGGCACTCCACTACGGAGGTCGTCAATTGTAAATCTTAGCGCTCCATTCCGCGTGATACGCTGTCATCTGCCCTATAAATATCTTGTCTCAAAATATTATAATACTGAAGGTGTACTCTATTTCTCCGAACACGAAATTTGGTCCATTTTCGAAACACTTATTTCACTCCAAAGGGCCCATTTTTCGATAATTGATGATGGAACTGAGGTAGAACCTTACATTGCCTTGGTCCATAGGTATCTTTACGAATATGATTTATAAGAACTCTAATGAGAACACTCACAAGAATTAAAATAGGAAAATAAAATTGGTTCTTATTTTTCTCGGAAAAAATATTTACTTGATCACTGCCTAAAAGCTTAATTAAAAATTATCTTTATTAATAATTTTTAATATAACTATTCTAGATATTTGATGATTTTAATACCTATTTAAAAAAGTTTTTGAAGTGGAAAGAGCATGCAAATAATTAGGCAAAGATTTATGTTCACTTCAAAATAAAAGTATAATAAAAGTTTGTATCATGAATAAAGTATTATTCGTAGACAACGGAGAAATAAAGTATATACTTTATTTATGATACAAACTTCAGAAACTCACTAATTTTTGAATCGGTTTACTTTCTAACATTATCTCTTCAAATTATTTAGATTTCACCTGAAATTAATATCTTAATTTTTCTTAAATCATTAAGCGTGTATGTTACCTACCTAAAATCCTTCATTCTGACACTTAAAGCCAATGTTTTATAGTGCACTAATAATTTTTAGCCAACCGATTTTTATACAAATCTTTAATTTCAAAATTACCTTCAAAGGCATATTAATCTGAGATTAGTTTGTGATACTTCAGATAGTTAAATTGAATAGCTTCAATCTTTTCTTATCTGGCTATATTAGAAATAATATATGTTAGAAAAATATGTTAGAAATACTTAGATTTGTATTAGGTTCTTACATATGAAATTGGCGTTTTGTTGTTGTATTCATAAATTTCTCCTCCTTGGTTGGGAATTCCAAATTCAAATTTATAAAGCCATTTACACATGTATTTGTCTTTCGTTAGGCGGCATTCATTTGTTTTTTCTTCTGTTTGTCCTATTTACATCACCCAGTATAAAAAATGGAAAACTTGAAATATCGTGTTATTTACGAGAAAGAGTTCCACTGCGGTACCAGTGCTGCGGAAACGGCTCGAAGGGTTAATTATGTATATGGCGGTTGTGTCGCAAAAGAAAACACAGTGCGTTTTTGGTTCCAACGTTTTCGTTCTGGAAATTTCGACCTGCAGAACAAGCCCCGTGGACGGACCCAAGTTAATAATGAAGAATTGAAATCTATTGTGGAAGCGTATCCACTACGTCACAGTAAGCTGCAGGCTGCGGTGTTAGTGATAAAACTGTTTTAATTCACTTGAAGCAAATTGGAAAGATTAAAAAGCTTGAAAGGTGAGTACCACACGAATTGAGTGAAGCAAACCGGCAAACGCACTTCGACTGCTGCATGCATTACTTAACCGGCACAATAATGAAGGGTTTTTTTATCGAATCATTACCTGTGATGAAAAAAGGATTCTCTGCGATAATCGCAAGCGTTCAACACAATGGTTGGACCCTGACATGCCAGCCAAATGCTGACCCGAGCGAAAATTGACCCCAAAAAAGTTACTTGTAAACGTTTGGTGGGCCAGTGCCGGTGTCGTTCATTACAGTTTTCCCAAATCTGGCCAGACGATTACGGCAGACGTCTTTTGTCAGCAATTGCAAACAATGCGAAAAAACTAGCTGTTAAACAACCGAGGCCGGTCAATCGCTCTACGCCACTGCTACTTCACGACAATGCTAGACCACACCCTGCACAACAGACAGCTACCAAATTAGAAGAGCTTCAATTGGAAATTCTAAGACATCCACCGAACTCCCCGGACCTTGCTCCAACAGATTACCATTTTTATCGAAATTTGGATTACTTCTTGCAAGAGAAAAAAAAAACAAATCCGATGGGGCAGTGCAAATCGCCTTCAAAGATTGTATTGATTCCCGTCCGAATGGTTTTTTTAGTAAGGGGATCAACGAACTACCTATGAGATAGCAAAAGTGCATAGATAACAATGGTTTATACTTTCATTTAATAAATATATTATGTTAAGAAATATTCGTCTTTTTGTTCCTCCCATACCAAACATCAATTTCATATGTAAGGACCAAATATATATTTTTTCAACTCCAAAGGATTGCAGACCGGAAGATTTGCTATAAATTATAACTTAATAACTCCACGCGGTTATAAAATAATTGATCTTATGAAATAGACGTTCAACGAAGCAATTTGTAAAGGTCCCTTTTGTTGCATTAGATATAGAAAATATTTATAAAATTGCCAAAATAGCAATATGCGATCCGCTGTTTATGCATTCATGCTTTTTTTTTAATTTTAAGAAACGGGTCGAGATTTTATGTTCATGTTATATTTTAATTTTCTATGTTCACCGCTTTCTATACGAATGGTAGACTTAATTTTCAAAATTTGATTTTTTTTTTCGAAAACTTTTACGAAATTTCGAAATTTTTTATCCGAATGACCAAAAGCGTTCTGAATACCAAACAGGAGAACGCTTTTTTTTGCTTCCTATGAAATTGTTAACATCTTGTATATATTATACATCACTATTAATAATAAAATAATACCGTCTTCGATAATGTGAAAAGTAATCCATATGTCAATTCATGCAACTTCTATTGTAAGTCGGTGTGAGAGTAAGTGTAAGTTGTTAATACTACCCGGACGACTTCAAAAAAAGTTACTTTCTTCTTTGTTATTTGGTTGAACGTTTACAGTTATTTTGTTACTATCTGTTTTCGAGTTATAGCCTATGTTACCCGCGTATGATATAACTTCCTAGGGTTAAAAGAATTTTTAAAATCAGTTCAAATAGTTTCTGAGTTTATTGGATGCGAATAAACAGTGAAACATATCTCTTTATTACTCTTTATTACATTAGTATAGAAAAAGGCAATAATAAAAAGCGAAATATTATTTTCTTCTTCGATTAAAAAAATATCTTCAATTCGCAGAGAAATCGATGTATATTCGTAAAAAGACATATTCGTCAAATATAGAACCTCTTCGTTGATTTTAAAGTCAGTGAAAACTGATAATAAAACCTTAAAAAACTATTAAAGAACGCCGATTATTATTAATAAATCTGCCCAAATGACCCACGTTTTAGTTTAGATACTTTTGGGCCGGGTACAGTACCTAAATAATACTTTCTTCACAAAATGAATAGTACATTGTGTATTTCTCTGTACATATTCTACGATAGCATCACAAAGTTACTTTATTTTTATAAACTATTTTACTTTTTACTAGCCTATGTCACCACGTATGACGAAGCTTCCTGTATGTAAAAGAATTTTCATAATCAGATCAGTATTTCTGAAGATTATCCCCTACAAACAAACAGAAACTCGTATAAAATTAGTATAGATTTGTCACTACAATGCGTGACAATAAATTCAGTTCGACATATGGAAATCGGCGAGTGCTTGCACGTATATTCTTGGTAAATTCTCGTTTACACATAAAGGTTCTCACGAAATTTG